TTACACTTCCAGTCACTGACAGTCTGCCTTTTCGCATATAAATTTCAACCACTAGGCTAGTTGAAGGAATGCGCCTGGCGAATGGGTGTGTCGATGCTGTTTCCACACACAATCTAGACGAAATCAAGCAATTATAGATGGGAAAATTAGCCCCGACCCCTATCCAAAATTCTGACTTTTGTCTTACATTTCGACTGGTCCGTATTGATAACAAGTACTCCTACTGAGCAAAGAATGGAATCACTCCCCTCGAAGATGTTAATACTACGAGCTTTTGCTTACTGACATGGTGAGAACCTAAGTTTACTTCGCTCAGGTCACCAAAAGGTTTGTCATCTTGGGGAATTATTCACAGAACTTAAATGGCGTCCATGATCTCGATAAATTGCTAGAAAATGACTGAATCACAAAAACTAAAGAGGGGGATGACTAACCGTTAAGATCTGTTCCGCCTCCTTCACCGTTTTTAGTATTCCTCCCTCCCTGGGAAGCAACTTGCGAAAGTTACGCGTGTTGAAGAGCTTGCCCTGTACGGCAACGTAGGCCTCAAAGTGTTCGCAGGCAGTCATACACATGAAGCCCAAAAGAAGCTTCAAGGCTACCGGCTAGAAATAAAATGTGGGAGATAGCGGCTAAGGCAACTTATAAATGAAGGATTTCGTGTGTTTATAAAACAAAATGCTACTTTAAAAAAGGATGAAGAGGGAAAACATTATTGCACTGAAGATAACGAAACAACAGGAAAGTACGGTAGTGCGGGGCTGGTTACATGATCCTCAAAGTACAATACTAAACATCACGTATTCTATTTATACAGCACGAAAAGTTGACTGCCATGTCAGAGGCCACAAAAATAGCCAGATGCGCGCGTTCTAAAGATAAAATGTACAGGGGTCCATACTTTGATTGTTTTTCCCTTTAGGAGCATCCGCTCGCAGGCAACGCGAGCAGGTAACGATCTCTGATTTATGGCGTCGCTGATCTGGCGAATGAACCTCAGGTGTGCACCACTGAGAGTGTGGGTATTATTCACGGATAGGATAGACTAAGATGGGATTGGATTAAAATAAACCGAACACATAAACCGAACCGTTTCCCGTGGATTCGTCGATTGATCGCTGATATTTACGTCTACCGAAACTTAGGAAAAGTATGCATATGATGACATGATGCACCAGGGCGAGAGTACGGATGCAATACTCACTCGGAGGGAAATTCGATGTTTCTAAGCTATTCGCATGAGGAAGTCACAAGGCAAAGCAAGACAGACATTAAACAAGAAAATAAAATACAAATGAAACTTTTATTACCTGTTCCTAAACGAACAGACGACAGTAGAAAACAAAGCTTACGCTGTTAGAAAGGTGGCCAAAGGAATTAACAGACTCCGATGGGATTGTCTTCAGATCAACGATGATAAGGGTTGATCCACGAACGACGGGTAGGTTGTTTCGCACAGCAACTTCAAAAGCCGTCTCGACGGCTTGAGTGTACTCGTGCAACTCCTCCATGTTCACCCTGTTTAGAAAACCACAAAAGTA